GGTATAATAGCAATGGCATTTACTCCAAATGGAAAAAGATTAGTTGCTGGAGCTGTAGATGTTGATCATTCATTGGCAGTTTTTGATGTAAGTGGAAAAGGAGCAGTATTATGGTCAGATAAGAGTGGACCAGATGTTATTGTTGATTTAAGATGGAATACAGATGATGCATTTGTAACAGTAGGTGTTAAACATTATAAATGTTGGAAATATGATAATGGGAAGTGTTAAGGAAAGAAAGGATAATTTGGAAAGGGAGCAAGTAATAACTTATCTGGAATTGCTATTAATGGAAATGATACATTATGTGGAGCTGCAGATGGATGTATATAAGTATGGAAAGGAGAAGCATTTATGAAACCATTACCTAGTAAACATGCTCAAATTTGTGATTGTATTACAGTTACACAAGATTATGTTTTCTCAGGAGGAAGAGATGGAGTATTCTTTGTTTTAAGTAAAAATTATGAAGAAATATTGGCTGTGAAAGTAAAAGAAAAGTGTCCAGATTCTGTATGTCCTAGTGTAAGAGCTATCTATGCTGATTTACCTAATTCAAAATTATTGATTGGAACATTAGGTAGTGAAATTTATTAATTCTCTTGGGATGGTGGTGCTATTAATAGTTAAACAGACTTTTAAGTAACAAATTTAATGAGAGGTCATTTCTGTCCCAATTTAAAATGGACTAATGAAGTTTGGGGTTTAGATATATTTTAAGAAGATTAAGATAAATTTGTAACATGTTCTGATGATGGTACTGTTCGTGTATGGTCTATAAGTGATAGAAAATAAGTGAAAATAGGTAGCACTCTTTTAACTGCAGATGGTAAAGAAGAGAAGAGAGATCTGAATACTGGAGATTTTACTGATTAATGTAAAGCACGTGTTGTAAGTACAAATCCAAAAGATGGAGGATTTACTGCAGGAATGAAAGATGGTACTATTAGAGTATATGATGCTGAATTTAATTAAACAAAAGTATTTAAATAGGCTAAAGAATGGATTAGTGATATAAAATTCTCTCCAGATGGTACTACTTGTGTTATTGGTTCACATGACAATGCATTATATGCTTATAAATATCCTTCATGGAAAGCAATAGGTAAAAAAATGTAGAAACATTCATCATATATTACACATTTTGATTTTAGTAGAGATGGTGTTAATTTACATTCTACTTGTGGTGCTTATGAACTATTATTTTGGGATGTAGCATAATGCAAATAGGTATTATTTATAATTATTATAAATTTAGTTACCTGGTGGAGCATCTGCATTAAAAGATGAATTATGGTATACTTGGACAGTTACTCTTGGATGGCCAGTCTAAGGTATTTGGCCTGAATGTGCTGATGGTACTGATATTAATGCTGTTGATCGTTCTAATACTACTATAAATGGAAAGAATGATCCAAAAACATCTTATCATTTACTTGCTTCTGGTGATGACTTTAGCCATGTTAGAATACTCAGATATCCAAGTTTGAAGAAATCATCTGAAGCAGTTGTTGGTACTGGACATTCATCCCATGTAACAAATGTTAAATGGACCAAAGATGATTCACGTATCATCTCAACTGGAGGAGAAGATTAATGTGTTTTCGTATGGAAGGTTACAAAGAAGTGAAAATTATGAATATATCATAAATCAAATTGTTTACAAAAATCTATATATTTTTAAAGTTCTCTATGAATTATCAGTCAGATAAATATAATTTGTTATTTAATAAGGACATATTTTTTAATTATGTCATATATTTATGATTATTTAAGCTAATATATTTATTGATTATCTTGGATTAATTCTTATGTAAAATTGTTACAAAATGAATTTGATAAATTTACAGTTGTATTTAATATTAAAAATCATTGAAAATTATAACCTATTAATTAATTGATTATTACATCGTTGATAATGATATAATTATTAACTAACTATTACAAATTATGTTTTGAATAAATTTATACATTAAAGAATGTTTAATTAATTTATAATAAGAACATAAAAATTAAAATATTGTTTATTAAAGTTTACTTATTAAGTATATCCTTAAAAATGATAAATTATCACTTATCACATAATTTCAAATAGTTAAATCTAAAAACAATAGCTCTACTTAATTAGAGGATATCTGATAATTAATTAGTATATAAAATTATCTAATCTTATTTAGATTTGTTATTATTATAATTTATATTTATATATATAGGAATTACACTTTTATAGTGTACAATATTTAAGAAGTTAGTTAAATAAAAAGTATATTCATTATATCGAAAAATTTAATAAGGGTATAATGAATTCATAATGAGATAGTTTATATACAATTCATTGTAAATTTAGTTGCTTCATCTTCTTTATAATTTTATTTAAATCTTTTTATTAGAGAAGTACATTCATATTTTACTAATTAGTTAAATGACAAGCATCATCCAAAGAGGATACCCTTTAGATTATAAAATCTAAATTATATGTTAATTGATACTTTGTCCATCTGAAATATATTAACTACCCTTTGATTTCTTTACGAGTTTTATTTTTCGAATTTATTTGTTTAATCCTGTATGTATTTTATTTATAGACCATTTTTATGACTGAGGAGATTAGTTTATTGTATTATATAAATCAAACATTTGAGTATTATATTCTTCTAAATTTTCAAATTACTATTCATATTAAGGTCTCTTTTCTTCTACATCATCATATAGATTAAAGCTCATAGGTAGGCAAATAAAAATAAAATAATTAATGAAATATCTTGAAATCATAATTAAGAGATCAAATATTTAGTATTTATAAATATATAAATAATCTAATTCCTTCACATAAATAAAGTATAATTTAAAGAAAAAATTAGGAAAATCTAGCTTTAATTAAATTTCTTTAGATTTTAGATTAGTAGAGTACAATTCTATTCTATAAGAGTATCTTCATAATCTCTAGATTAATTTTATGAGGAACATGATATTTAAAGTCATTTAATCATTAATATATTGATATAATAATTATTTTACTAAAACCCACAAGATTTTCTATTTGAAATCTTTTAATAAATGTAATTATCAATAAAAAGAATGAATTCTAAAATAATAAATATTGGTAATATTTTTAATAATAATGTTTTACACATCATATGGAAACTGTAGATCCTAAATGTAAACCAATTTGCCTATTATCCAAGTCAGTCGAGTCATCTTAAAATTCATAACTATAAATTTACCTAATAATACTAAATCTTAAATATTACCTTAAGCTTCCTCTAATAATGAAAATAATGTTAAATCATATTAATTAGCAATCCGTAAACTAGACATAGTAGATGATAGTCTGATAATGTGGTTTATTTTGTTAATGACTCTTATAATAGTTCAAATTTAAAATACATTCTCATTTATATTTTTGACTGTTGGGTAGAGAAATTAAAAGTTTATTTTGCAACAGGAGCAATAAAAGCTCTTGTTATGGCAAAGAAGCCTCTCATCACAAATAAAATTTATAAATATTATTATAAAATACATGTAATTATAAATTTATTTGTATTTTAATCATCTCCTTATTCAAATCTCTGATTCTATTTATTATAATATATTTAATTCAATATCCCATCCATCTTTAATTTAGTTATTTTGTAATTATTTTAATAATATATATAATTTGAATACATGACTTCATATTCTGTAATAACATTATTGAGATTACTTAAAGAACTATTTAAATTTTTTTAGTCATCTAAAAATAACCTCTTATTTGTTATTATTATTTTCATATCTGTTTTCAATTATTGTGTAATCTCAGTATTTTATAAATTGATTGTCTCATCCAATTTAACAAAAATTAAATTGTTTGTATTCTTTTCAAATAATGCATTCATTTACTAAAAAGTTAATTAGATGATGTTAAATCTTCTCTTAAAGGATTATGCAATTAAATTGCATAACTGGCATTACTTGCTTATTCTGAATCAGCAAAATTATTGTAAATAATTCAAAGTACTTCAAATACTCATTCAATTGAGAACCTTTGATCATGGGACTAATAGATTAGGATGGTATGGTAATTCCCCTATCCTCTCAAGATTTTAAATATTTTAGTTGATTACTAATATAATACTTTATATATTAATCAATAATGGAAATATCAAAAATTGGAAGCTCTGTTATTGATAAATCATTTGGTAGAGGAAAATAGACAAAAGATGCTGTAGTAATAGTATCGAATTTAGAGATTCATAAACCTGTTGTTACCTCTTGTGATATGAGTAAAGCATAAAAAGAATTTGCCTTTGATATTGTTGAACATGCTTTTAGTTAATTTAAAGAATTTTCAGCTAAAAGAGAGAAAAGATATTTTAGAGATATAGCTGAGTATATAAAAATGAATTGATAATAAATTTTAAGGGACATGTCATGTGATTGTAGGATTACATTTTGGTTCATTTGTTTCCTATGAAAGTTAATGTATGATTCATTTTTACATAAATCAATTAGGATTCAAGTTATATAAGTTTGCCTTTCTAATTTATATGAACTATCATAATCATTGTATTTATTGAAATGACTTAAATTTTGTTTATAAATTATCATCTTTAAAAAATTAAATTATTTTTTTACATTATTATGATTCTTTAAAAATTAAAGATTCCTCCCATATCTAAACTATATTTTGGAAATATAAAAATTAGATCAAATCAAAATTATCAATTATCTTACTTAGATATCTCAAGAATATTATTGATTAATTTATTTTTAAAATATATGAATTTTTTATTCAAAATATAATATCTTATTTAATGAAAAATACCAATATATAAGAATCAAATAACAAATCCAACTTCAGCACATGCAAAATTTGTTCCTTTAGCATTTTAGAACCACATTTAAACAACGATTTTGCCCTATGAATAATATTTGATTGTTTTACAGATGGAGTAAAGGTTGGGAAATTTTATGTCATTTAATAATTTACAAGATCTCCTTTATCATATACTTCATCTTCAGGATAATTGTCTTCAAAAGCATCTATTCCATTCCATTTAGCTTTGAGTTAAACATTAGCTAATTCTGCATGATCATTTGCAGATCCAAAAAGTGTGATTGTTTCATCAACACCCTTTGCAGGTGTAACACTGAAAGTTGCCTCAGTAAAAACAATCTTTGGATTTGCCATACAATTTGTAACTTTGGTTGGAATAGCTGCTAAAATGGTGGATACTAATAGTAATGCAATTATGTATTTCATTTTTAAATAATATTATTAATATTATTTAATTAATAATTCAGTTTAATATTCATGAATTACGCAATCGATATAATCACTACTTAAAAAAATTAAATTTCTATTATTAAATATTAATAATGATCATAATAATATTTTATGTATTATTCTAATATGAGAACTTTACTATTCTTATATATATATAATATATAAAACAACTCTGATTTTTTTATATAATATTAAAACATACAAACACTATTTTATCAATTACCAACAATGATTTGCATTCTAATATTACCCATCCAAAATAGAATCCATAAAGAAATCATCATCTCATTATAAATAAAACATTAAGACATTATAAAGGATTGAGAATTTAATAACAACATCAAACTATAGTTTATTAAATCTTAACATCAATCATAAGTAAAGATGAAATTAGAAGATAATTAGTTCAAATCATTTCTTTTTTTTGAAGGCAAAATTAATTTGAAATTTAAATTAAATGATAACATAACAATATAAAAATGACTTAAAAATTAAACTAAATTTTTGATATCAATAAAATATATAATAAACTTCAAATATTTCTAACACTTATAAATATTATACTATCTGAAATTGTTTACTCTTATCATAAAATATATTATTTTATTTTTGTATAATAATCTCTACCTTTTTTCATTAATATATAGCATTTTTATTATACACTGATATACTAAATTGATTTTAAATATTTACTTGTAAATTACATAAATTTCTGATCCACTATTATCCCAAACTGATTTGAAAATATATTTGAATCAACTCTTTGTCAGAAAGTACTTAAAAACCTCAATTATCTAAAGAGAAACAAAGTCTATCATAAATATAAAATCTTATTTAATAAATTAATTAAGATTTAATATTTATGAGAATCTAAAATATATGATTCTATATAAATTTCCCTTAAATCATAAAAGTAATTATTTTATAGTTTTAGATTTATCATAAACTAGATAACTTTATAGGAGCAACATTATAAACAGAAGACTTACATTTCCAATAATTAAATCGATATTCAAAAATATATAAGTCAATTTATTGTCATTAAATTGTAGTATATATTATAAGACCTTGATCAATAATAATCCAAATATTTAATGCAATAATGAATTTTAACATTAGAATATACTTTCAAATTACTTTTTATCATTCTTTAATGCAATGAATTATATTAGTATAAGGATATTATAATATTTGATGAGTGAAAGAGTGATGATTGTTAAGGATTGAAGAGAATAGAAAGGAATAAATGATTATCTTTAAAAAAACAATATATATATTTTTTTAATTAAATATGCAAACTCAATTTAAATCTTTAAATAAAATATTTATTTAAAAATCAAAATATGCAACCAAAAGAAATTTAACAATAATTACCTCCTTAAACCACTCCATAATAAATGAAGACCATCATTTACATTGAAAATTTAGATCAGGTATGAATGTCTTCAATAACATTAATTAGGGTATTTCAGAAGATTATCTATATCGTAAATTTAAGGAAGTAGGTGAAATCCACAGTTTAAAGATTACAAAAGACAAGACCACCTAAAAATCAAAAGGATAAGCATTCATTACCTTTGCTCATCAAGATTCTGCTGAAGAAGCAAGAAAGAAATTTAATAATTAAGTGTTCATTAGAAATATTATCAGAGTCAAACCATACTTCAATTATCATATTGCTGATAAAAAAGCAAATATCTTCATCAACAATTTACCAGAAGATGCTGATATTTTAGAATTGGAATAAGAGTTTTCCAGATATGGTACTGTTTAATCAGTTGATATTCACAGAGATATTTAAGGAAAGCAATTAAAGTATATAATTAAATGTAATATATTTTAGTTATGGTTATGTTCAATTTGAGAAAAAGGAAGATGCTGATAATTTGATAAAGAGAGTTATGAATCATCCTATTACACACAAAGGAAAATTACTTAAATTGGAATAATTCAAAGCTTAATCAGAGAGAAAAGTTGAATCCAGTTCAATCTATTTGAGAGCCATTGCTAAACCTTTACCATAAAAGTATTGGGAATAGAGTAAGGTAATCAGAGCAATTGAATATGCATGGTCTTTAATAATTAATGATTATTTCTTAAAACATGGCATTAAGGTTAAAGATTGCTTTGTTAAGATTGATTAACATACAAGATAACCTTGGACAATGATCTCATTCGAAACAGCAGAATAAGCAAAAGAAAATTTAGATATTTGTGAATAATAAAGAAAACATCCATGTATAAATTCAGGTGCTCATCATGCATTGGAATTAATTAATAAACATGGACCACCTCTCAATAGTGATGCTAGTGAAGCATTTTCTATTGCTGAAATTACTTAGGCATTTAAAGAAATGGCTTAAGATCATGATGACACTTTCAAAGGAGAAAGTGAAAATTTCTTTTACAATATGGTCTACAGTAAACACTTAAATCCAGATGACAGATTGATTCTCGTTTAAAATATAAAGGAAGAAGTAACAAAGGAAAAAATTCAAGAATTCTTATCAAGATTTGGAAAAGTTATTCGTCTTACAATTAGAAAAACTAAAAATCCTAGATTTTAAGTTCAATAATGTTTTGTTCATTATTAAACTATGGAAGATTCAAAGAGAGCAAGATCAGAAATCTATGATGAAAATAATTCAGAAATTTCTGCTATAAAGAAAGAGATATTCAAGGATGGACATGTCATGATGAATATTTTATTATCCAAAACTATGAGAAAGGAATTCAAGGAAGTTAAAAAACAAAGTCAAAGTATTTTCCAAAATCCAGGAGGAAGATAATTACTCTAACCACCTTATGTTGGAAACTTTCCAGTTATGCCTCCTTAAATGCCATTCCCACCTGGAGGATAAGGAATGAGACAAATTCCTCCAAGAGGAGGAAGACCTGGTCCTGGTCCTTTCCCTATGATGAGAAATTATGCTCCAAGACATCCACCAATGAATAATAAACCTGTAAATTAAGCACTCATGAACTAAATGGTTCAACCTTAAGCATTCATTTAAGAATTTTCTGATTACACTTTAATTTAAAATAGAATGGAAGAATTCTTGAAGATTCCTCAAAGTGATTAAAGATATGTTCTTGGTAATCTATTATTCAAAAAAGTCTTCGAAGTTGTAAAAGATAAAGAATCAACTAAAAAAGTTGTAGGTAATAATTATAATTAAATAATTTAGGTATGTTAGTTGATCCATCATAATTTGAAATTGGTGACATTTTGAATATGTTTGAAGATAGTTAAGAACTTTAAACTTATATTGATGATGGTCTTTTATTGATTAAAGAAGAAACTCAAAAATGAGTTATTATTATTGCATAATGTACAAAAAAAATAAAATAAAATAAATAATTTAAATATAACTATGTTTCGTTTATTGTTAATATTCAATCATAAATTATCTAAAGTAAAATCTATAGAATTAATAATAGCAGAATCTTTTCGAAAGGTCTGTGCCTTTTCTCCAAGATGCTATTAAACTTAAGGAGATACTCTTCTTGCTGTTTAACTTACATTTCTATAAAGGAATTCCATTTTGTTTGATTTTAAATTCACAAACTAATTATTTTTCTTATTTATTAATGGACTTTTATTATATTAATTCATTCTATCACTTAAACTACCAGCTGATTCAGAATTATCAACTTTCAACTCTTTATAATAATCCATTTGTCTTAGTACTACTCTAATAAATTAAGTTTATGAAGCTGAATTGTTTTAAAATTATTCATATTAATATAATAACATTCTATTATTATTATCTGTCTTTATTTTATTTTAAATTTTGAGTCCTTTTACACTAATCATCCATTAAGTATCTCCCATACTATTTTAATAGAATTCTTCATATTAATTAATTGTTTCTTCCCAATTATTATGTAAATTATATTTTAAGTTTAATGATAATTATTATTTTTAATTCTTAAAATCTGCATTTGATATATCATCTATTTTCTATATATTTAGACAATTTTATTTATATTTTTCAATCTTTTCTTAATTCTAATATATAAAATATTCATTAACACTTTATGGTTTTTAATAGATTAATTTTGTTTGATTTAATACTGAAATTGTAGATGTACCAATACTAGATAAGTATTTCCAACCATATTTTAATTTCATTATAATCAGATTTACAAAAATAGAAATTATTAATTTTTCTTAAAGTACTTCAGTACAATAATATAATTTCTTCATTTCTTATAGAAGATTATTACTCTATTGATATTTTCTCATTATTTAAGAAATATTTGATAAAATTTCTTAGATTTTAGGTGCCAAAGATCTTTAAGATGATTGTTGTTATCTATTTGAAAGTAAACCATTTTATTCCATTAATTTAACTTAAGTTAAATTCAATCTAAATATCTTTCTTTATTATTATTAAGATTAAGGAGATGGAATTTGACTTTTAATTTCTGTTATCTATTAATTTTAAGATATTGTTTAATAACTATTAAGACTAGTTAAATTCTCATTCTTTTAATAAGTTCTATGATCTTCATTTTCTATTAATAATTTTCTTCTTAAATATTAATTTTCATATTTCCTTTAAATTTTAATTACTTATAAAGATGCTATAGATACTTATTTAGCAGTCTTATTATTTAGATTTAAAGAAAATGGATTTACATTCTTTCCTTAAATCAATTACAAAATACTAACTAAACCCATCGAAGCTGCACTATGAAGTGGAGTATTTTTAAATAGATCTCTTTTGTGGAAATCAAATTAAGTGCTATTACTAGCAAATCTTACTGCAGCTAAAGATGGTAATTTAACAGCAGCATGTAAACTAGTTAATTTCATTGGATTTCTAATGTTTGGATCGCATCCCATGTCTAAAAGAAGCTATTCTTTAAGTTTTAAACTACTTTGACCATAATTGATGCTTATTATTATTGTTATGCATTTCTGCCAAAAGATGTCATTGCTACATGCATAACAGTTGATCCATTAGCTACAAGTATTTTATTTGGTCCAATAATGTCTTTCTCTATTTACTAATTTAATTCAATTCCATTCTATAATAAGATCTTCATTAATTAAATATCCAATCGTTTTGCTGTTAACATAAAGATAGTTTGCATTTCAATTGTATTTTTCCTAAAAGCTGGTAACAAACACTGAATACACTTTATTCTATGAAGATTGAATGCATAAAGAAGAGGAGAACAATCTTCCTCATCTTTTATAAATATTAATTCTGGATACTTTTAACTAAATTACTTTAATAATCCTATGGAATCTCTTTATATAAATGTAAATAATATATTCTTACCACTAATAATATTATATTTAATACTTTTAAATGAATTACTATATATCAAACACTTTTCCAATCATATAATAATAAAATAATGAAAATGTAATAATTTCTTATCTTTATACTACTCTCTAACCTAATTAAACTAATTTTTATTTTATTTATTTATCAAGTTAACAACTTATAGCACAATAATCAAACCAATCAAGATCAAAATATTATAATGATTCTAATATTTCATTAAATCTTGCTGGAATTGTAGTAAACATATTAGATCTTAATCCAAGATAAATTAATTTTAAATCAAATAGTTCTGATGGTAAATACTCTATATTATTGTTATTTAAATTTAATTCTTTTAAAGTATTTAATTTAAATAAACTAGATGGTAATTATTCTATATTTATCAACTAAATAATATATACTTATCTAATTATCTGACAATATTAATTTTTCTAAATTTGGAAGATGAAATTTTATTGGAATTTATTAGATTTAATTAAAACTCAAATTCAGGATCTTTAACTTAGTGTATGTTCTAAATAATTAATTATAGAAAATTATACTTTAATTGATTTGGAAATTAATGCAATAAGTTATTTGATAAATCTAAATCTAACAATAATTCTGATAATGTATCTAATACAGGTGCAGTAGAATATAGTAATTAATTACTCAAATTTATTTTTTATGAAGTCTCTTTTATATAATATTTTGTACATATTCTTATTCTTCATCCTTTCTTAATTTAAGTTTATCGTTTTCAAAAGGAGTTCGTAGAGAAGGTATAAATGCTTTTTTTGAAATTTCTTATTCACTGTCTAAAACATCATGAGAACTGATTGATGACAATTTACTCATTAATGATAGTAACGATTGCATTTTTTACGATTTAACTTTGCCTTTAATATATAAAAATAATAATATGAAGTCATTATTCTTAAGAGACTTATTCTTGTTATTAAATTAACCATGAAAACCTCTTTCTTATATGATACAATAAGTCCCAGTCTTAACCAGAAGGACATCTAAATATTTAAATTATTAATATTTTACTTTGTATGTCCTAATTACTTCTGAACAATCCTAGGCCCATCAGATTAATTTAATCTCTCTATCAAAAAATATATCTTAAATTATATAAGTATACTTACTTTCTCTAACTAACTTAAATTTTCATCATCATTATATAAGATTTCCAATGCTGAAAGGGCAAGAGATTCAACAAACATATGTTGATCAATATTACCACTTTTAATATTTGAATTTTCTTGATTCTCATATAATTTAGACAATATTTAAAATATTTAAACTATCTTATTTTTAGTTAATAAATCAGGAAAGATTGAGAAATCCTAATAATATTAAATATAATAATTTACTTTATAAAATCTTAAGAACTATTCAAAATTCATAATCTATTTACCAATAGTATAATGTTTATAATATACTAAAATAGATTTATGTAGTAATCCTAAAAATTCAACTATTTCTTTATCCTTTAATAAATTCATTAATTAAGAGAGAAGATCTTTCATTTTATTTTCTGGTCCCTGACTCATTAAATGTAATACATGATCATATAATATAGTCTTTAAAACATGTATATCATTTGTAATTAATTAAAGACCTTTCAAAAATTATAAGAAATTCATAGTTTATTTTTTTTATTTAATTGGAACAGATGTTCTATTATTTTATGAGATTGTACATGCCTTAGTAAAAATTAAATCAATTTCATTATGAGGTATTTAATAAGATAATTTACTATTTTTATCAATTAAATTTATATTAACTAAATTTGCATCTTTTAAAAATTTCATCCATTTACTACCAACTAATTCATTATCTTGTCCAGTCTATTAACTAATACCAGAATATTATCTATAGATATTAAATAATTATGTATAATTTTCTTAAAATAATTATTGACATTATTCCTCAAATTATTTATTAATTTATATAGATGGTCTTACTCTATTAGTAGGAACTGTATTAATTCTTTTCACCTATTCATCACAAAATTCTTCATTTTTTAATTGATGAATTTTCATTCTCTAAGTAGTAGAATTTAAATATTGAATAGCATCAGGTTCACTAATTATTAATTCTATAAGTTCTTCAGGTACTTTTAATTTCCAATTTATTTTTGAATTATTTGATGGTATTTCCAAATTATTAAAACCTTGACTCAATTCCATTCTCTCAAATAAAAATGCCAATTTTTAGAGTGGTGTTATTATTTATTATTCTTAAGTTGAATCATCAAAACTTTGAAGAGTCATCATAGCTAATTTAATAATATAACAACAAAATTAGTTAAGATCAAATTTTGACTTTTATTTTTTTAATTAACAAATTTAAGGTAAATTAAGATCTGCTTAAATATAATCTAATAATAAATAAGCAGATCCTTTAGTAATAAATTATGGACAGATTTCAAATTCTTTTAAAAATAAAAACAATGAAGATCGAATCTATTATTTCAACATTAATTCTTCTTATTAGTCTTTCAAATTAAAATTCTTAAATTAAGGAGGAAAATATTTATTATAAATAAAAGTAATAGGTTGAATAACAACCTACATTAATTTGACACAGATTGGATCAATTTCTTAAGATAGTTTTGTCTCTTCATCTCCTAAATCTGTAGATGAGATTATGTTTTCATATAATGGAGTTAAATGATTATCCATTAATATTTAGAATGAATTTTCTCCATATAAAATTTCAGATAATAATTCTAAAAAGTAATAAAAGTTCTCAAAATCCATATTTGGTTTATTTCTATTTGCTTTAACAAAAAGTAAATCAATTTATTATTAATCTTATCTTTGAAGCTTGATTTATGAATCTGACATTAATTTATGTACTTTATTTGATCTAATATAATCAATATTTGTTCTATCTCCAAAAGATGCATAAAATTTGAAAATTACACTCAACTATTTTTTATCATCTACTCTTTTGATTTCAACTACAGGTATCTCTACTTTAGATTTTTACATTTAAAGTTTATGTTAGTATTTTGCTCCATAAGAAAATAATTAATTTTTCCCTGTTTAAATTGAATAATTTTCCTTATTATCAATTCGTGAATATGCATTTTCTTCTTTTTTATTTCTGATTCCACTTCTATTTCTCAAATCTATACTCTCTATTTTTTATATATCTCTTTATAATGAATAGTTAGAACTTGAACTTCTCATTGAATTATTCAAATTTTATAATTAAAAACAATTTAAATCATATCAGTTAGAATACAATAACTATACACAAGTTATATAAATTTCATTGATTTCTTCTATTATTTATGTTATAATTAGATTTTCCAGAAATTCCAGGTAAAATCGATAAAGGATATTTATCAAATAACTTATTTTATGCATGTGTAACAATTTAAGGTCCAGCATAAGATGAATTGTATGTTGTTTACATAGTTTATAAATTGATTTTATTTTATTACATATTTGTTCTTGTATTATTAAATTTAGAAGTAAGCATACAATTTCTATTTTATACTCTAAAATTTGATTTAGTTTCTTATTTTTAATTATTTCCTAAGAATTCATTATTTTTATTAGTCTATCTAAATTCATTTTAAATAGAAGACTCTACTTTTTTTTCATTACCCAATTTTACTAATTATTCAGATTTTTTAATTTCAAGAACATTAACATTATCTTATTATTTATCAGAAACAATATGTTAACTACATTCTAATTCTTTATTATTATTTAATTTTTCTTATTCTTTTGATTGTCTTAATTATTTCTCATAATTTTTCAATTATCGTTAAAAACCACTATTTGGACAAATGACAAATCTTTTACTTTTAACATAAGAAAAAGCTTCACTATATGTCCATCCTTTATTTCTCATAAGATAAGCTATAACTATTGATGCTGATCTTGAAACTCCAGCAGCACAATGTACAAGAACAGATCCAAATTTCAATCCATTTTTAATAAGATAAAAAGATTCATCAAAAAATTAAGCCACATTTGCTTATTCTGAATCAAGAATTGAATATGTCTATAATATTATGTATAATTTTTACTTTATGATTCATATTCTAATCATTATATTTTATATTAAGTTAACATGCAACTGTTAAAACTGTTCTAATTCCTTTATTATCAAGAGTAGACTTGTCTTAGGCAGCTGTATAATCACCCAACCATAATTAATTACCATTTTCCTCATGTATAATATTCATTGCTTAATAGGATTAACCCAAATTTCTATACATTATATAATTTATTTAATACTGAATATTTAATATGTAATTTATAATCAAATAGAAAATATATAAGATTAATGAATTCATAATTAAATATTCTCCAGTAATTTAATAAATTCCTCTTCCCCTAAGAATCCATCATTATTAAGATCACATTTTTATAAAATATCATCCCAAGCCTAATTATCTATTTCAATTCCACCAAAAATACTTTCTAATTCAGATTTACTTATCATTCCATTTCCATCCATATCAAACATCTTAAATGCTAATTTAATATTATTAATGGTAATTTTTTATTATTAAACTAATGCAGCAGATATAAATTCAGTAAAATCTACTTTTCCTGATTCATTAACATCCAATTCTTACATTAAACCATTAGCCATAATCTCTGCATTTAAATGATCTACATCTGCACTTAACATACCTTTCATCAATTCATCTTTAGTTAAAACTCCATCTCCATTTTAATCTAATGTTTTAAATGTTTAAAATAATTTTGAACTCTCTTCCTTATTAACTAATTGTACAGAAATAAATTAAATTATTGCAGCTCTCAATTTATTCTAAGCTGTAAATTGACTTAAATTCTTAATTAAATTAATATCTTCAATCTCATTCTATTAGATATTCTAAATCCAAGGATGATTAAAAGCTTCCTACATACTTATTCTATTCTTTGGATCAACTACAATCATTTTCATTATCAAATCCTTAGCTTATTCATTTGTTCTCAACCATCTCTCACTATTTGTATTCAATTTTCCTTATCTAGCTAATCTCAAAGTCTCTATATCACTAGATCCTTTAAATGGAGGTCTTCCAATTAATAAAATATATAAAATAACTCCACATGACCAAACATCTACTTTCTCATCATATCCTTAATCAGATAAAACTTCTGGAGCAACATAATAAGGAGTTCCAATCTTTTTAGTCAAAAACGATGAATCAATCATCTTTTCACTTGCTCCAAAATCTATTACCTTTAAATTTGCATCTGGATCTCTTGAATCAAATAATATATTTTCAGGCTATAAACATAATATATATTTTTAATACCTTTAAATCTCGATGTACAATATTTTTCTAATGACAATACTAAATGGCTGAAAATACTTATTTCATATATTTTGCAGCCAAATTCTCGTTATAATTTGTAATTGTTTTTATCCTCTCCAACAATTCACCTCCCTAACAATATTCAGTTACTATATAATAATATTTAAAATCTGCAAATATTTCCAAAACTTTAACTATATTTGGATGATCCAAAGCCTTTAAAATTTCTGTCTCTTCTAATAATTTCTCTTCACAATTTATTGTTTTCCTAACAACCACCTTTGCAGCTCTCAAATTCTCTGTTGATAAATGTTTAACCAAAAATACTTCTCCAAATCCTCCTTAACCCAATTTCTTAACTATTTCGTAATGAGCTAAAAACTTCTCTGTTATACATTGCTTTCTCACCAACATTTCAGGTGTTAATTTCATAGTTCCACTAATAGTTTTTTTTACAAATTCTACTGTATCTCCTTCCTTGTGTTTAGTTTAAACTTACAACTATTCAAGATCCTTTGAATAACCCTATTCTTTTGATAATGAGTTTGATTTTATAAAACTGGTTTCTTTGTCTTAAACTATAATTTTAGAATGATCATTAGGCTATTAATTAAATTCCAGTCCCTCTTTAACTTCATCTATTTCATTTCCTGAATTCGTTATAGCTTACTTTATGTTTACTATTACCTTTCTCATCAGTATACAATTTAAAAGAGCAACAACCCATTTTGAGATTATGTCAATTAATAAATATATGATATATTTAATAAAGTGAAATTCTCATCCCTTAGTCTATCAATATATTGTTTAATGATTTAATTACTACCATATCTTCCTAAAAAAGAGATTCTTATTTCATTTCAAACAGTCTAACAATTGATAAGAAGGATTACTAAGTTATCTACACTAAATAAAATTTTTATTAATAGTTTACTACAATATAATTGTATATTAATTCTGCAATTCTTATTTTTATTTATTTTGATTTATTAATCTTATCACTTATTCTGGTTTCAATCATTTTATTTAGGTCAAATTTCATTATTTTATTTTTCATTAATAAATCATTTATACAAATTGAACTGAGTAATTCATTTAATACTTAAAATTCATATTTTGTAAATACTATTAGATTATTCTTATTTATAATTATTATTTAATATTTTATCAAATCTAATATAATTAAATTATATTCACATTTTTATAATAGAAAGATAAAAATAAGATTTTACTTTATTCTTCTATAATACTAAAAAACACTTAAAATTTAACAATTAAGTTACAAATTATAATATCTAAATTTTACATAAAATATATTACTTTGATTAATTTTATTAAAAGTTAAACTTATATTATCTATAAGAACAAAGAAAAATGTTTATAGTTTGACTCTTTTAACTTATATTTATATCTGTTATATGATATATTTTACAAAGATATATTAAACTTAATATGATAATAACGATTTTTTATTACAATTTAAATATTTTATATCCATATTATTATCATTAAATACTTTATCAAATTATTAATTAACTTTAAAATTTTTTAATTTCATTATAAATAGATTTTTAACACAATTATTTACATGAATACAAAATTCATAACAAAAATGAATTACTATTTTTTATAGTTATAAATTTAAACAACTAAACTTAATTTAATTAAGATAGGATTATAAATAAATATGAAATGATTTTGATTAAAAATAAAAACATCTCATTAAAATGTTAATATACTATTCAATCATTTCTAAATAGTTTTTCATTAATAAATGCTCTTTTAAGTGCTTTTTCTCTTTTTATCTCTTGATCAGTCTAAGTTATTGCCTTGATTTACTAAAGTTTATTTAAGATACAATACTTTTTCTTACATATCATCATCATACAATTATGTGATGGGTGGTAAGAGTTCATGCTAAGATTTTCGCTTAACAGATAGAAATCTTTCTATCTTTTCATGTTAATCCCCTTAGATATTATGGGCACTTCTAATAAAATTAACTGGTAAATCCTAAGAAAATTATCGAATAGTGTACAGCACCATAATTCTTCTTGATATAGAATTGAGTGATATTTTTAGACTCTTTAATAATTTTTCTGATTTAATAAAAGTTCTTAGATTTTCCATTAAATGTAGAACCCATAGGAGTTTTTTCACTTTCCTCTGAGTACACAGGCTTAATTATTAAATATTATTTACTTTACCAGGAGAACCAACAAATTAGATACTCTTTCTAGTTTCTAATTTTCTAATGGTTTCAGATTCATGAAATTAATCTAAATCATTAATTTTAGATTCAGGTTAACTGATAGCTTTAGTTTAAGCAATGATAGCATTTTATAATTATGATTAAACTTTTTATCTTTTAGCTTCTCCTTCATACAAACCTTTTTTCATAGCTTGATTAGAGGCTAAACTCTAAATTCTAGTTATTTCATTATTATGAAGATTAATTTGTTTAAGTAAAACATCATAATCTTTTTTCATTTGTATGATTAATTTATATTCAGTTTCTTATAATTTACCCTCTAATTATTCTCTTTCTTTCTATTATTTAAATAACAAATCACTATGTTATTTTTCAATACGATATTTTTATACTTTATATACTCTATCTTATTCATGTTTCTCTAAATCCTTCAATTCTTTTCTAAAATCTAATGCTTCTTCTACTCTCTCTTCTAAACTAACCAACTTTTCTTGGGTTTATAGATCCTTCAACTTTTTTTTTGGTTTAACTTTCATCAATTCTGTATCTTTAGAGAGTCGATCTTCCAATATTCCTAACTCTTTTTCTTAAGATATTTTTAATTATGCTCTTCATTAATATAATAAGTGTACCTTCTATCAATTTTATACTTTGTTAATTATTAAAATTCTTAATAGTATTTATCATAAAAATCATCTAACTTTTCTTATCCTATTTCTTTATACACTTTTCTTTCTTTGTTTGATATACGTTATCTCAATTAATTTTAATAATCTGCAATATTTGCCTCTAGAGTTCTCAATTCTTTCATTAACTGTTTAAATAATATGTATTCTTAAATTTTCAACAAAGCAGTAGCTACTTAATGCATTTTTTCTTTGATGACAGAAAAGACTAAAATCTACTCATCTTCATTTAAAATTCTAATGGAATTCATTGAAATCTTACCCATCATTATCTTAATCAAAGAGCTCAAAGAAATCCTTTTCATTTTACAGTTTCAATAATTATACTATCTCACTTCTACAAGCTTCAAAGATTCTTTACACAATTGTAAAGTTTAATTGAGCATCTGTCACAAAATCATTTTTTCTCATTTCTATCCATATTCTTGAGCATTTATTAGGTGCAGTGATATATAATTCACCTAAAAATTAAATTGTTATAATACCTTCACTTTTTATTTAATTAATAATATGTCGAGGAAGATTAGATAAGGCAGAATAATTTGACTATTATATTTTAGTGCTTATTGTCATTGATTTTGATTCCATTTAATTTATCATATAATTATTAATATATTTATAATTATTATACATAAAGAAATCTTTACTTTATATTCTTTTGATAGATGTTTAGACTTATAATCATTTTAGAGAGTATAATTTATGAATACATATCAATTTTAATCTTAATATTTTTAGAATTAAGATTGCTATTGAATTAATAATTTACGATATAATTTATATGAATTAATATGTAAATAATGTTATTAATTTTGCTTTTTATATAAGTAAATTCATATTTAGATGCTAATAAAATTAAATACGCTGTTGATGCAGGCAATCAATATTATTATAAGGACAGATAAAAAATATTATATCGCTATGATCAAAATTATAAGGGTGGCTAACAATTAATGTTCTATTAAAAGGTAACCTCAGATTAAAATCATCATTTGATACCTCTTTAATATTTAGATTATTATGTATTCTAAACATCAAGAACGGTATCTAGTGATCAAGATTTTTTTAAATATTCAATTACTATGAGATTGAATGGGAATTACACTTTAATTTTATGTTTCATTGAAGTATAAACTAATTTTATAATAAATATAGTCAGAACAAAGATCAGCTCGCTTTTTTGATATTTATTTAGAAGATGAATTAATAAAGGAGTAATTTGATATCTATAAGGAAGCAGGTGGAATCAATATACCGCTATATTTTGCTTTTGAATTTGAATTTGATGGAAAAAACATTACAGCAAATCATAAAACGATATTTTAAATGAGTGATAATAGGCTACATTTTGATCTGACATTCAAAGGAAAAGGAGCATCTGTTAGTGCAATCATATTGTATTAAGGAAAAATAGAAGATATCTTAATTGATTTAGAAAGTGCATTACTTTCTAAAGATCAAATTGAAGCTACCTTTATTAATTAAGTTGAATTTATAAAAGCATTGAAATAGAAAGCAGCTCGTTATGCTCATAAATAAAAAGGGAAAGGTAATGAAAATGTAAATACTTTGATGAATCAATATCTAAGTCCATTTCAAAAATTAATCAATAATTTCGATATTGGAAATAATGTATATAATGAGATTTCGAATGGTTTAGATCCATCTCCATTAGAGTTATTTTTAGATGCATTATTGAATGTAATTTATGTATTAAATAATTAGAATATTCTGGTGCCATTAGGAAGTGTATTAGTTCAAATTATAGATTTCATCCTTGATAATAAAATTCTCACTACAATTTTAATGACTAATTTAATATTGTATTATTATTGTTTTGGTAACAATAAAATTATGTTTGCCAATGTTCCTGTTGGTTTAGTAAGAATTTCTTTTTTTACAATATTTAGGTTTTAGACCCAGAGGTTGATAGTGAAATGGAAATTAATTATAATGCATAATCCCCTAAATCACGACATGTTAATGTATTGAAATCAAAAAAAAAGAAGAAATGATTTATAAAAATATTTTTAATAAAATTACAATTTAATGAGAAATAACAGCTAGTAAAAGGAGAATACTTAATAATTAAAGGAAGTAATTAAATAAATTTTATTTTAAGACAATTCATAAATTACAATAGAAAGAGGTTACATAGAGATTTGAAATAGCAAAATTAAAAAAATTATTAGTTGAAAGAAATTAAGAATATAAGTTAGTATCTGATTAATTGTAAGAACTAAAAAGAATTTAACAAAGAGTAATCAAAATAATATTATTGATAGGATAATCAATATATATTAAAAATAGACAACTATGTTGCTAATTTGAAAAAGAAATTGTAAAAAGCAAATATTAAAATTGAATCACTTGAATCAAAGTTTTGCTCATCTAGAGTTAAATAAAATATAATTAATGATGATTCATTTAATGGAAATGATTCTTTTCAAACAGAACATACTACAATTTCAACTAAATTACCTATCCCTAAATAATCATCTAATCGTTCAAATTAACCTTATTCTGTTAATAAACCAAAATTAATTTGTAAACCTATAAAAGTTTAATTACCCTATCCAAATACTAGTTTTACAGAAAATTAAGAAATATTAGAAAATAACTCTATCATTAAACCAAATGCATTATAAGAATAAATTCTTAACAGAATACTAGATGATGAAGAATTTATTAATAGTTTTACAAATTAATATGGTTAAATGTAAACAGATTTATTCTCTTATTATAAAAATCAGACTCAACCTCTTAGTTTTGCATCTAATTCAAGATAAAGTAATTTCAGTTTTGCAAATAGTGAAAAAAAGTATAATGGGAATGATAAATAATAGTAGAAATAATCAAATAAATAATGTATATATATTTATTTAATATTTTTAGATCACTCTATGTCTATTGATGAAAAAGAAAACAATAAAAAATATTTTAATTGATTAAACTAATTGTTTTACATAATAAATAAATATACTAATTTTAAAAACATATCTTAATATTTAATCATTTTTATATATTGTTTTCTCTAATTGCAATATTTAGAGTATTTTATTATTGCCAATTATTAATGATATTTTCATTATATATATTTGTTTAATTTTATTTTGGTGTTAATAATTAAGCATAAGCTAAACTAGGAGTAAAGCTATTGTTTCTAGTTGTCATTGAAGTAGATTAATTTATAGCTCCAATAAGATTTAAGTTTAGAGAAGGTATTGTCTTTTTTACTCTTTCTGTTTTTGGAGCTATATCTTTTTTATTGGATATTAATTTTTTCATATCCAATATTTATACTTGTTTTTAATGTTGTGAAGAATTATTATTATTTTTTTGTTAACGTTAATTCTAATCTTGAGATCTTTTTGAATTTGTTTTATTTTAAAGTTTGTTAAAATTTAATTGTCTAAACGAATCAGGAATTTTAAGTATTTAATATAAAGCTTTTTAATCCAAAGAGAGTACTTAATTATTATTATTTTGGTTTTAAGAGGGTATTTATTTCGATTCATGATTTGATAAATTATTACTTTTGATATTCTTCATTTCTTAAAGACTTTTAATTATTTTCAATTCAAGTTATTTGATTTCTTGAATTGCTTTGTTTTAATCACTTTTTTTTGGTGAATTACTTTTTTTATTCTTATCTTCTAATTTGAATTTTTTACTATTGCAGTAATATATATATTTATTACATGAATTATTCCTTATTTTATTTAAAATCTAAAATTTTATCTCTTGAGATGGTTTAAGAATGTTTATTGTATAATTTAGATTAAACTAAATATATTTACATAAATTACTTTAATCTATTAATCTATTGGAATAAGATTATTAATATCTGGCTGATAATGGCATTTTTGCTTCTTAAGGATTTTAATGGGTTCTAGCAGATAAAGATAAAGCAAGTTCATCTAATTTTAGTGATTTTTTGCTTTGATTTTTTTTCTTTTTAAACCATTAATATTATTATTTTTGATTTGGAGAATCTGATTTTAGATTTAATAAACTTATCATTTATTGTATTTCACCAATAGGAGGAGATTCAGGGACTTATAATATACGACTGATTTCTGAAGAGGGTTAAGGTTTCTTATTAGAAAAACTGATTTCTTTAAGAATGTTATCTACATTAACTTTAGATTATGGTTCAGAATTCTCAGATTAAGGTGTTGAATCACTTAGTAAAGGTTTATCACCTACAATACCTTTAGGTGGATCAGTTGGGTTCATTTAATTTTCAATTTCAATTTATCTTTAAATTTTGTAAAATTCAATTTTTCTTCTTTTATCATAATAATAATTGAGAATTTTTAGTATGGTTTGTTTTAAGACCCATCTTGGTAAATCTTTATGAAATTTATAGAATTCTGTAAGCAGTTTTGATTTTGGAGGATATTCGTGGATTTCATAAAATCTTTTAATATATTCATCTTCTTCATCATAACATAGATAATCCTTATGATATATTTGAATGTTTTACATTATACAGAATAGTTCTGGCAGTAGAAGTTTTGGATAATATTTCATTAATGTCTTTGGTATAATAATAATTTTATGATGTTGCATATTTATGATAGAGAGTGTGTCTAATCATTTTATGTAAATTGATTTCGCAAGGGAAATAGTTTTTAATATATCCTAGAGTTGTTCTTTTGTAGCAAAATTAGCAAGAATAATTAGACATTTTTAAAATTAAATATAAATAAATATAATATATTTTTCAAACAATGTAAACAGTTTGGACATTAATACATCCAACTAGGATTAGTGTATAGAAGACAATAAAGAATTTATTACCATCTGGCTAAGAATTTTTTGGTACTGTAATAAGAGACAGTAGAAATAAGTCATGTAAAGTAAATTGATCTAATTGAAATGATTAGGTAAAAGTAAGCTATAAATATTGGCATAAAAAATATAAGTCTTACTTTGGAAATTCTTCTGAGTTCATTGCACATGATGAAGACAATTTTTGTAAGGTAGGAGATAAAGTAGTCATCAAACATTGTTAAAAAACAGGTGGCAAATATTATTACGTAAGAAATGTGGTCATTCCAGTGGGTAGGAATCCATCAGATGTGTAGGATGATGTTATGAAAGAGCTTTAGTAATATTTGTAGCATATAATTAAATTAGAAATATTAGAACTTAATTGGTTTAATCGGGGTTGTGATTTATTATTCATACATAAAAATATTTACAAATAATTATGCAAGATTCTTTAAACTCAAGTCTCGACTCCCTAGAATTGGAGATTTTTCATAAGCCAAATACTTAGATTAAATCTATATTAGAATATTTACGTAACCAGAAACTTTAATTCTGTACGGATCCTAAAAAGAAATAAGATAATTATTACTCAAGTTCAACTGAATCACTTGATTCTTTCTCATTAAAGAAAAACAAATTTTTCCAGAAATACAAATCAAGTACCTCAATTGAAAATCATGAAAATTGATTCTCTATCATCACTTTAACATATATAAATAATTTCTAAAACTTATAATTGTTTCATTTTTTAATCCTTACTTAACTTTTTATAATAGAGTTAACTTTATAGAATTCTTATTAAAATAGGGATGATACAATTCAAATACCTACTCCTAAATAGATCAGTGTAAAAAAACATAATTTGGCAATCAGTACTTCATTTATTTTTTATTTGCTTTCAATTAAAATATTTTAATATTATCAGTTTATACTCTACTTTAATATAAATCTAATATTCTTTTCTAATTAAATTATCTATTTTTTTATGCTTATATATTGAGGTTTTGATATATAATAGAATATTTAGGTTTGATATATAATAGAATAAATGAAATAAGTGATTATATATATAAAATCACATATTATTGATTTATTTGTTTTAGAATACTTGATCTATATTATATAGTAATTTAGGATAGGATATAAATAAATCAGCAAATTATAAATTAAATTACCCGGCAAATCTGAAGTTTTTAATATTTCCCTCTATAATTTATTTAAATAATTAAAAAGATAAGATGTTCGAAGCCAAGTTTGAAGATGGTGTCTTATTTAAAAAGATTGTAGAAGCAATTAAAGAATTGGTTAAAAATGTAAATCTTGAAGCTAATGGAACAGGAATCTCATTATAAGTATAATTAAAATTCAATTATTTTAAGGCTATGGATACATCTCATGTAGCTTTAGTTGCATTATAATTGAATGAGAAAGGATTTAAAAAATATAGATGTGAAAAATCTCTTACTATGGGTTTGAGCATTGAGAATTTATAAAAAATTTTGAAGTGTTCGGGAAATGATGATTAGATTACACTTAGAACTTAAGAAGAAGAACCTACAACATTATCATTCACTTTTGAATCAAAAAGTATGTTATAAAATTAAAATCATTTTAGATCGCATAAGTGAGTTCTAATTAAATTTAATGTCTTTGGATTAAGAACAATTAGGTGTTCCAGATACTGATTATTCTTCAGTTATCAAAATGCCATCCAATGAATTTACAAAGATCTGTAGAGAGTTAGGAAATATTAATGAAGCAATTGGTATTGAAACTTCAAAAGATGGAATAAAATTTTATGTGAAAGGAGATATTGGAGAAGGATAAGTTTCAGTTAAATCTAATGATGCTGAAAAGAAAGAGGAAAGAGTAGAATGTGATGTTGATGAACCTGTGAATTTAAGTTTTGCTGTTAGGTATATAATACACATTCTATTTGCTATAGATATTTCAATTTATTTAATAAAGCAGCTGCATTATCACCTTAAGTCATTTTATCTATGTCTCAAGATTAACCATTAGTGATTGAATATTAAATTGAAAATATGGGATCATTAAAATTGTATTTAGCTCCAAAAATAAATGATGATGAATAATAATGAATAATTGTTTTTTAAAACATATTTTATATATTATTTCTTGTTATGTAATAATAATAAAAACAACCAATTTAAGAAAGACGTAGAAGAAGTGGAGCTTTGCATGCTTAAACCTGTGAAGAATATTTAAAAGTACTAACAACCATAAAATATAATACAGAAATATGATTAAATTGGACAAATAAAAATAAGAGAAAGCTAAAGAAAAAAAAGTTTGTCAGAATCAGCTTTTCTCAATTTTGATTTCATACCAGCTGATGACGGAGTTGAGGATATTACTTAATTGAAAATCTTCATCTACTCTCCAAAAGTAAAACTCAATGAATAAGAATTCTTGAAAATATTGAAACGAAATAGAAATCGCTCAATCACTACAGACAATATTTCCAATAAATCCTTTACTTTCGATTTTGATTTCTTCTATAAAGAGTATGAAGTTAATGAATCTCAATTTGGGTTGCATTTTTGGATTTAAAACAACATCAAAAATAAGCATTCATCATTCTTTCAATGTAATTAACTTAACTATACAAAAATTTTAGAATGTTATTATAAAGTATTCAATGCAGCAATTCTATTATAAAGAGATACTAATGTTGAATAAGACATCAGAACTGCCAATCCTAATTGCATGATTAAGATCTTCCCATTAGTAATTTATATATATATTAATATTTAGATAGATGAGTTGCTGATTGAATCATTGCAATCTATAATAGCTGAAGTAATTTATATAAAAAATATGAAAGATATGCCATAATCACATTAAATCTTGATCTATATATAACTTATATATAACATCCAATTTATTTTATATCACCTATCCATTATCTAATTCTTTTGAAGGAAATCTTCTAAAAACTTTTATTGACTCAATTTATTAGGAATATCGAAAAATTAGAATCTGTCTCATTATTATTTATGTAGTAAAGAGTCCTTACATGATTATAATTTAACAGAAATATGTAAGTATAATAACTATTATTTTATAAAAATTTCTTATTTTTATTAAATATTTCTTTGATTGATCAAACAAAAAAACTTAAAGTAGTTATCATAACTGTCATTTTATATGACAACAAATATATATAATATTTTATAGATAATTAAATAGATTAAAATTATTTATATTTAAAAATTTAATGAATAAAGACTCACACAATGCAAATGTATTATTATTTATTAATGAAGATGAAATCCTCAATGTCACCAAACAAGAATTTAAGACATCTTAAGAGTTCTCAAACTCACATCACTAAAAAAACTAATCTTAAGGCTACCTAATAATAGAATTAAACAGCTAATTTAAATTAATTTCTAGATATATAAAAGATAAACAATAACAACAATAACAACGATGGTCTACGACAATTAAAAGAATTGTAAAAAATCCTTACAATTGAAAAAGACGAAAGGTATTAATTTATTAGATTAATAAGATATCGATATTTAATAAAAAATGGAATAACCAGAAAAATTGAAAATGGAGGCAACATTATATTCTCTGAATTATAATAGATACCAGGTGTTTGGATCTGCTATAGGAGACCATAGGAGAGATAGGAAAATACAGAAAAATTAAATCTAGATAATCTAGATCTTTAACATATACCATTGTTCGAAGGTGAGGAAAATTTGAAAATATTATCCTTACAACACAATAGAATAGGATTAATTAAAAATTTAATATCCTTACCCAATTTATTATATCTAGATTTATACGATAATTAAATTAAGGATATTGAAGAGTTAGAATAATTATAAAAATTAAAAGTACTGTTATTACCAAAAAATTAAATAAGAAACATTCAAAATTTAGATTCTTTATAGAAATTAGAAGTGTTAGATTTACATAGCAACAACATTAGCCATTTAAAAGGTCTAAATAAATTGAAAAATTTAAAAGTGTTAAATTTAGGAAACAATATGATCTAAAAATTGGAAAATTTAGAAGATTTAACTTCTTTAATTGAATTAAATCTGAATTTAAATTAGATTGAATTCATTGAGCATATATAAGGTAAATAATTCAATTATAAGCTTTAGTTCTCCCAAAATTGCAAAAATTATTCTTATCTTCAAATAAAATCAATCAATATCCATAAATATTTGATATATTAGAATTGTCTTTAGAAAATAATCCAATATCATATAATAAAACTGATTATTATAAATATATCTGTTAAAATTACGAATAACTTAGAATATTGGATCAAAAATTAGTAGATATGATAAAATAAGAAATTCTATCATTCGATTTTTTTAAAAGAAAGTAGATCAAAAAAAATTAATATCAATCAATTTAATAACAATAATAATCTATATAAGTAAATGCTAATGAAGATGAAGTATCAAGTATCAAAAGATAGTGGATTGAAGAAATCAAAAGAATTCAAGAACTAGAATAATCAAATCAATTCAACTAGAAAAGTTGTTTAGAGCATCAAATACTAGAAGGAGGACACGCAGAAGTAGAAAATGTATTTTAACTTGAAATCATATTAGGATAAATTTTTAATAATTTTTGGAGCAGCTGTAGGAATTGTACTGCCAGCTAATAACTTTAGATAAATAATCGAAAAAATTCAATTTTAATATGTGTTTTTTGATTCAATTATTCACTCTTAATTATAAGTCATTAAAGAGTATACAAGATTATAAGAAATAATCCTAAAGGATAATTATATACACAGTCTTCGTTAATTAACCTAATTAGAAGTATGATCATAATAGTCTATTTTAGCATTTAACTTATATCCAAAAAATTATAATATAGAATAACCCCATAAATAATTGTTCTTTTATGCTTTCGTTTCTTATTTATAGAATTCCTACATTAATCCAAATTAATAGCAAAAATGTAAGATATTAGGATAGATAGAAGGTAAATTTTATTAAGATTATACATAGGCAAAATCACAATTCTAAAATTTTGATAAAACTTTAACTATTGAAGAAAAAAATTTGAATATGGATAATTTTAGAAAATTCAAAAGCTATTAAAAAAATACATCATACATAAAAACATATCAGAATACAATAAATGAAATGATACATGAATTAAAAATTTCTATTAAAAATAGAAATTAGTAATAAGTATAATTATTTTTGGTTTGATAATTTTTGAGAAGATATCTAAGTGTAATGATATGATTTTTAGTTTTATATTCATTATTTATATTAAGTTAAAATAACTTTTATTTTTTTTAAATAACATATTGTGTATAAAAATTTATTTACATAAAGGAACTAGGGATTTAATTTATAATTTAACGAAAAAATTTATATTAAAAAAATGTTTTAATAAATGATAATATTCTTTTTCTACAAATTTTATCAATTATTTAAATTAGTTCAGTCTAGTTTGATGGTTAGTGAAAATTTTAATATTCACTGGATCAAGAATTATATTATTTACATAATATTATGATTAATTATTATTGTCTATGAAAAATTAGGCTGTACAGACAATTGAAACGGGTGCGATGTTTAGTTTTAAACCTATGGATGTAATTGAACCAAAACGATCAATTATACCAAAAAATGTCATTAAAAAGCGTACCAAATAACAGAGACCCTCTTTTACAGATGAACCACTCCCATATTTAAAACCATTAAAATAAAATAACCAAATAAAGTTAAGACAATTATTGTTACCTAACATAAAAATCTAAGAAAAGCCACAAATATCAAAACGAAGCGAACGATTTTTATCGATAGAACATAATTCTCAATAAATTTCTAATTGCGTCATGAAACTAAGAAGATATTCTCATTATGATTTTATTTCCAGAACAGATAGAACACTCTCAATATACCCTACATAAAGTTTGGTAACAAGCAGAGCATAGATTAAGTATAATTGATAATTATATCAAAATTATGATTTTTTTAGTAATGTAATTCAGCACTTTCTTTTTAGTTTGGGTGTTTTACTTATCGAATACATAATCTTGGGGTTTTCATCTTCTATATTATGTTCTGTTTATTGATTATAAGCACAATTTGTAAGATCTCTAAGTAAATGAATATTTTACCCTTAATTAGTCTTATCTTCTAAAAATCAATTATAAATAGTAATATTACATATGAATTCAATCTGAATATTCTGACTTGTTCCCATAATCTCCCATTCTCCATAAAGAAAGTCATCCTTATGGTAGTAAAAGTCTTTTTATTATAAGTATAATAATTTATAACAACCTTCATACACTTATAACTTTAAATTTAAATAAAATTATTAACTACTGTCATCCTAATTGTTTAAGGGGATTCTAAAATAATAAATTGCAATAAATTACAAAAAATATTAATTCAATTTTGTTAATGTATAATGAATATCATCTTTGAAATCCTTGAGATCTTGTAATAAAAGACAATCCTTCTCCCTGTTTAATTTGATTCCTTCCAAAATTACATTAAGATCCATTGTTAAAGATATAACCTTATCTTAATTGATTGAATGCAAGATAATTTGTTCAATAAAGAGATTAATATTAGGTAAGTCTAATCCCTATTCAATATTGGTGCAATTGCAACGAAAAAAATTCATTATTAAAAATGTATAATAATAATAATTATTATAATAATCGACAGACATTTTAAAATGTAGGTTATTAATCGATGAACACCTATAATAATGTACCTGCCTTCAATTAATAGTAGGTATTGGAAGAAGATTACAAGAGGTAACATATATTTTAAATGATAGACGATTACAATAGAGACAATAATATTTATCCATGTAATAACTGATATATGACTAGAACATGATGCTCAATTAATTAATGTATTAACAACAATATTAATAACAAATGCAACAATAATAATACAATTAATAATATCAACAATATATTTAAAAGCCAAATCAAAAACCAATAAATGTTTAATTAAAATCAATAACTTTAAAACCATTAGAATATTATTCTTAGTAGATGAGTAGTATTCATTATCCTCCATATGCTTAACCATATCCATAAAGATAAGCTGTTGAAATCCCACAGAAAGAAAATGAAAGACTCTATGGTTTTAAAAATGATGTTTCCAAAAGAACTATAGAAGTGTAAACAGATGACAAAATAACTGAGTACGATAAATTCTAAAGAATGGGATTGGCTAATACAATTAATAAGCAAATTGATGATATTTGGGGACCAGAAAAAAGTGAGTAAGAACAGTAAAAAGCATCTATGGATTAAAAATATATGGGGAACTTTGAAATAAATTTAAAAAATGAAAAAGAATAGAAAGAGAAAGAGCTAGAATAAGCAAAATAATACTAAAGAAAAAGATTTAAGCCACCTGGAATGACAAAAGAGTAAAATATATATTAATATTCTTAGATAGTGGGCAAAGATCAATTTCAAAATTTTTAGAGATTAATTTATTTACATAGCATTATACTTTTATAGATTAAGAAAATATATAGAGAGCAGGAAATAAATGGCTTTGAATTAGAAAGGTGAATAGGCTATTAAATGTCTATAAAACTTTTTAGAAATGTTTTAAAAAAATTCATCAAAAGTTATAGTTCAGTTTTCTAGTAATAAAGATAATTTGAATATTTCTGATAAGAGAAAAATCTTAGAAGCAGAAATGAAATAGAGAGTATAAAATCTTAAAATTCAAACCAAGAAATTGTTCCAAACTTTGATTTCGAATTTTAATGCAAAAGATATTAAGCCAGAAACCATTGAATTTTTGGGATCAATACTTCATGATTATGAATTTCCTATTTAAAACTTTTTGTTTCTTTTTGAAATAAATAGACTCAATTTTACTCATTTTGGTTAATTAGTTAATATGACTGATATTAAAGCATAATGTTTATTGATATCTTTAATTTTAATAAGAGTTTTTATTCTCAGAATTATATTAAAGCCTTGGGCTGAATTTCCAGATAGAGTTAAAAAAAAAGAGCTATTTGAATAAAATTGTTATATAGTAGGAAGCTTAATGTATTAAATAATTATGGATCTTCTAAAATCTAAATGGTTTTCAAAACTTGGTAATTAATCTCATTTACCCTCTAAATATAAAACCTATCCTAGACCTTTAGGACCATTATTATCTGATAATTACTAATTGCCTGAAGATGTAGCAGAAGTGAGATTAATTAGATTACTGGAAGAACCATTAATTATGGGTTTAGCAAATAGAGAAGACCTAAAGAGTATTCTAGAAGATGATAAACCATTTTGTAACGAACAATAAAAGGTAATAACATAATGGGCAGAAAATATCTATAAATTAGTTCACTAAAATTATTTACTAAAATAGAAACAGAAAAGAAAAGAAAGATATGAAAATAAATTGAAGTTTATTGAAGTTGCCTTCTATACTAAAGAGGAGGAAAAATAAAAGCATTTAGATATTGCTTAATAAATCTATGAAAAATATGAATCTGCCTTGCCTTAGCCAGAATAAGATCAAGCATGAACTATATATTCATTCAAATTATATTAAATGATATTAAAAACATACATTTTGAATCTATCATTTTAAACAGATAGAATTCTAGGGTGTAATTTTATGTTAATAATATTTTAATTATCCTTTTGTGTTTAAAAAAAAATTTAGATTACTCTAAATAAAAGCATGGCTTATAGCAGCTATCTAATTATTATGTGAATTTATAGTACTTAAAGGAGGATAACTATCCAACATCAGATTCCTATACACACTGCGTATGGAACAGTATTTTCATCATACATGACATCATTGTTCTACAATATGGTTTTACTCTTTTCATCTATAAACTACAGATTAACACTTGGGCTAATTTAATTTTCCAATAATGCCTATTTTATATTTTCAGAATTAAATATATTTTTGTCGACTTGAAAAGAATCTGATGCTATTATCAATTTTTTGGTTTTTGATCAAAACTTAATTAGTTTTGAAATTCAGTAGATGGTAATCTTTTTGAATTTTATATCAATTAAGGATCTTAGTGAATTAAATTGCGAGGTGGATCCTGGAGTTGAAAACTTCCAAGCAAACTTGAAATAATTGTTTAGCTAAATTTAAAAACTCCCATAAGTATAATAATTGTAATTAAAAAAAAGATTTTAAATTATTATCAAATTAATGTTATATAATTTTTTTTATCTTTAAAATAGTTGGTCAATACAAATTTTTAAGGAATAAAATACGATAATTGTTAGGAGGTCAAGAAATTAGCTTATTGAAAGGATATAATTATATTAAGTTCTTTTATAAACATCAAAATTAATTTATAAACTATTATATTATTTTTTTTAACAGAATTAATGAATTTAGCAATATCATCAAGTTCAGAAGAAGAATCATCTTATAATGCTAAAGAATAAGACAGAATATTAAAGAATTCAAATATTTTTAAATAGAAAGCTGTCTCTCATTTGAATTGTTTAAAGCATCCAAATAAAAAAGTATAAAGCCATTACAATTTTTATTAATAGGCTAAATATTATGCCTAAAATGATAATCGAACTTTATTTTGTTCTAAATGTGCCTTGAATTTAGCCCTGAAAGGTCATAAAATTGAAGAAAGTGCTGTAGCAGAATTAGAATTACAAAGACAAATGAGAATTAATTAATTTTAAGAAATGATGAAACAAGCCTTATTAGTTTGCAATTCAAAAATAATATGCTTAAATAACCTTTAAATTAGCCAAAAGTAACAGCTTGAAGATTAAAAAACAAATTGCATAAAATTTTTTGAATAGGTAATTGAAACAGCTCAATAATTAAAATAAACATATATACAAAAGTTTTAACATGATCACTCAAGCTTAGAATAAAATATATTAGATTGCCAATAAGCTGTGACAAATTATGAGAAATAATTATAATAATATTAAATTGACATTGATAAAAATCATACAAATATTGTCAAAAAGATGGAAATGAAGCCTTTCGAAGATATTATGCAAAGATATGAAAAGAGAGTAAGAAGTATTTAACAATTATTATCTGAAATGAAATTAGAGTCAGGTGTAAAAATCAATTAATTTGAATAATCTTCCATTTTAACCTTTATGAATAAAATGTGCTACAATATTTTGTTGAATGATACATCTTAATCAATTAAATCTAGAAATAACTCGATCAATTTTAACAATCCTTCAATCGATATGAAAGTATTGGATATCTTAGAAAATGATGATATCTACTAAAGCACATTCTCGAACACAATTAAAGATAGCAATAGCTAAAATCCTCCATCTCCTATATCCAAATTGCCAATTTATAAAAGTAATGGATCTAACCCAATTTCTACAATCTAAAATTCAAGAAGAGAGAGTAACTCAAATACTCCAGAAAGTTGGAATCACACAAATATTCAGAATTGTGATCAATAATCATAGATAAACTAATAGATCAATAGTCATAATGTAAGTTTGAATGAGTAGCCAATTGTGATCAATTAATAATAGTAAATTTAAGAAAAGTTCAGTGTAAAAGAAATAGTAAAATTAGCTAATGAGAATGCATAAAATGTTGAACAACCTAAAAATTTAGAAATAACACCTTTGATTCATTAGAAAAGTTAATCCATCATGCCACAATCTATTAAAATTCATAATCATTAAAAAAGTAATATAGCTTATTATCGTCTTAGATCAATATGATTTAAACACTATCAACAAATCTCAAGATTCAAAATAAAGAAAAAAGCAGCCATCTGTAGATCAAATTGAACAAAAGAGATTTTATATACTAAATCAGAATCAATAAAAATCATAATTATCATAAGAAGACACATTGAAAGATAGAATTTTTAAAGAATTAAGTGGCCATTCAAGTGAATCTGTTTACAACTAAGTTTTAAAAATAAATACTTTATAATAAAAAATGAAAAAGGGAAAGGAGAATACTCAGATTGATTGGACAGGTAGTTTAAGAAATAAATCAAATATATTAGCGAAAAAATGAGTAATTAGATTATCTATAATATACTTTTTCCAATAGAAAATTATACTTTATAAATTATATATACGTTATTTTCGCAAAGAATAATAAAAATGAAATATTTTTTCATTATTTGGTTTGCTTATTTGACTCTCGGGAATTCAATAGTAGGAAAAAAAGCATCAGGTAATCATAGTTATTATTTGTTAGAATAGTTTTTTCCACATATAATGGATTGGCTCAAAAAATAAGAATAGAAGGTGGATCAAGCTTTGGCTTTTAGTGCTCTCACTGAAATCATTTAATAAACAGACGAAGAACTATCTCAAAATACTGAAAATTCAGAGTTTATCAAGTCATTTTAATAATAAGTATTCTGTTAGAGTAACATTATTAAGATTTTGTAATATTGTAAAGAAAAAAAAGAGTTTGAGTATGTTAGGATAGAAAGTATAGAGAATTTCATTAAAGATGAACTCTAGCATAATTCTAACTACTTCAAAATTATGATCAAGGATAAAGAAAAAATGATTGATTAAGATAATAAAGAATTAGAAAAAGTAAAAAAATCCATCAAAGATCATAGTAAATTGCAAGATAAACTAAATGATATTTAAGAATTACTCTAAGAAATATAAATTAGTATAATGAAATATTTATCTATTAGACTTACAAATTGGAACTGCAGAAAAATTATATAAAACTTTAGAAATAATTGAGTCAAAAGCAGTTATAGGTTTATTTAAACAACAATCTGAAGAGATATAGCTTTATTTAACTCATGTAGACTTGCTATTCAAAACGAAAAATTTTCAATAAGATTAAGTAATTCTTGATTTTTATCTAAGTTTGAAATAATAAATCTGATTTCAATGATAAAGAATGTATTGTTAGACATGAAATTTAGCATACAAATAAAAATGCAAGATGATAATATGGCTACTTTTGAAACAATGAAATTTTTTGAAAATACTAAAACTACTCATTAAATAGCATTGGAATATTTTAAGAATGAATCTATTTAATTCTTAGGTAATAGATTATTGTATAAACAATCATAGGCAATTTAATAAAAACATGGGAATAATCATTTGAGAATTAAAATGGAATATACAAAGATAATTTAGAATTTTGTTAGACCATTAAAAAATTATCAGATGAGACTAATAAAATTGATGATTCTCTTAATTCAACCCCACAATTTAAAAAATACTCTCTAAAAAAGACAGAAGTCTAATTCTTAAAGCATTCGAATTGATTTAATAGAGTTATATATTTATTTTATCTATATATACGTAAATTGTAATAATTAACTCAACAATCAAGAATTTTTCTTATGTTACTTTTTTGTGAATGGCTTAATATTTATTTTGAAAATCAATTGTAACTTAGTGAGGTTTTTATTATAATAGAGAAATCGTTTATATAAATGTGAGTATATTTTTCTGTTTTTCGTTTCTTTCAAAAATAGGTGTTCTAAAAATAATTCATTAGAATCCTTTGGAAATGGTTAATAATAATATTCATGAAAATGGTTTACTTTTAATTAGTTTTTATAAATGACAATTACAATTGAAATTTCTTCGGCAATTATCATTGTAATTAGAGAATTATACTTGAGTTTTTTTGATTAATGAACTAAATGAACTTATTTTTTCAAGTAATTTTAAAGAAATCAATTTAAGATTATAACCTGATTTTATATAATGATTGCTTTAATGAGAAGAATTATGCTGAGAACTCAAATAATTCTCTCTTAACATCTAAATAATTCATTATGTAGTACTACCAAATTATTGAAACTAATTGAAAAACCATTCAAAATATTAAATTCAATAATTATTTAATAAATTTGCATAGCAATTAATTATGTAAAAAGTATATATTATTCTTAGCAATTCAGAACGATTATGGTTTTAGAGTGGATGAAAAAGTGAAGAAAATTGATAATGAACATTATGATGAGGCGATTGAATTGGAAGATGGAGATGATGGAGAAATTGGAAGTGGTGAAGAAGATGAAGATTAATGTAACTTTTTTACCTACTATTCTATTAGATTAAGCTGGAGCTAGAGGAGCCCAATAAGCTGCATAAAGTGTCGGGTTTAAGAAGGAAAGGTTCCTTTACCTGCTGGTGCTTACAATCCAAATGATTATTCAAATTTATAAGTAGGTGCAGAAGTCAAATAATTGTTTGAGTATATTGCTAGGTATTTCTATTTTTAATTTAAGATACAATATATGTCTGCATCAAAATAATATTCTATATTACAACTATTCAAAGCTCCTTAAGTGGTTTTGGGAGCAAAATTAAAACCATTTATTCCAGATTATGTACCTGCTATAGGTGAAGTTGATGCATTCATAAAAATGCCAAGACCTGATGGCTAACCTGAGACACTTGGTTTAGTTACATTAGTAATCATCTATATAATTTTCAGGATGAACCTGCTCTTAATCAATCAAAAAGGCTAAATTAGATTTATTGATGAGAGAATATGTAAAGGTAGCAAATAGGGGCAAAAATACTACTATTCATGCTATTGAAAATGTGATAAAAATCAAAAGGAAATTACAGCCTGGATTAATGATGTGGCAGAAATACATAAAAAAAAGTAACCTCCATCTATTTCATATTCTAAAATTATGCCTGATATTGAAGAATTAATGTAAGTCTGGCCTTAAAAAATCGAAGACCTATTCTAAAGCACTTAATTACCAGGTGATAATATTGATATGGATTTATAAGAATATTGTTAATTCTCATGCAATTTGTTAGATATTCCTGTTCATTCAACTAATAATAATAGAAATATCTATTAAAAAATTATTTTCATATTAATATTTCTATTCAGATTTAATTAATTTGAAAATATCTATTATCATTATTGACGAAAAAAAACTATAATTTTCAAATTTTAATTAATATTAAAATTGTTTGCTATTTGATAAATCCATTTCAATTTTGGAAAAAATGATATTAACTAAATTATACAATGATTTACAAAAAACAAGTTGAAACAAAAAATCAACTTTTCTAGTAATTGGAATGATTTTGATGTAAAATTACGGAATTACAATCAAATATTTCATTTTTTACTAAATAAGAAAAATAATTATTATAACAATAAATTTGGAATAAATTTGTAAATTTATTTATAAATTCTAATTAATCAAACTCATACATAAATGATTTCTTGCTTCATCTAAATTTGAAAGAATATAGAAATCAAAAAAAGAAAGATGATTTTTATGCAATTTATATTTATAAAATGAAACTAAATAATAAATTCAGAAAATTAGTTAAAAAAAAGAAGTCGCTTTTCTCAAAAGCATTAAATTAATAACAGCTAGATTTCATATTGATTTATAAAATATCTATAAGTAAATTTTACTTATAACATGGAATATTTTTATGAAAAAGCTAATTTAACAAAGAATAATAATAATTAATAAGTTAATTAATAGACTCATTAAAATTTGAATAAACGAAGAAAAAGTTTTAAAAAAGGTATTCATTTCTTCACATATTTCTTAGGAGAATAATTACATATTATATATTATATATAAAGAGGGAAAATGTTCATAAGAATTAGCAGCCTCTAATTATTCATTATGGATGCTTTATAATCAAAATCAAGTCTATTATTGGAAACGTAATTGAATTTTTCTTCAATTTAAAAGCCTTTACTTTAAACTTACATAATTTTATCAATAAATACACTGAGGCTATTAGTAGTTTAACATAGCCTTTAAATCAATCCATCCAATAATAATGCATAAAATAATAAAAGTTTTTAAATTATTATTTTGCAGTAGCGACATTTTCTTTAAGGTTGTTAAAGTACAAAATATAAATAACAAAGGCAAATTTGCCGATGCTTTTGCGTTTATAGATATCACATTAAGTATCAGTTCAAATAATGAGTAACCATATTCTAATAAAGGTATAATTTCAATAAAAATAGGTTTTACCTTATTAATCTAATTAAATTCTCTCCATCTTCATGGAATTTGCAAAAGTACTAAGAAGATTTTTTTACTTAAGAATAAGCGAGAGAGCGCATAAAAATAAAGGCAGTTCTAAAATTTAAACTATTAAATAGGCCCATATTATCAAACAATAGTGTTCCATTTCTAATACTAAAATAACAGAAACATGCCAACTCAATTTAATGTTTTAACAATGCATAATCCTAAAAAATAGGGAAGATGAAGCTTATAAAAATATATATGATTGTTAAATTTTTCCCTAATTATTTTCAACAAAATTTGCAAAATAAGCTATTTCACAGAAATATTGAATTATTGGAATTTTTATTAAGCAATCTTTCTTAAAATAGATGCTATTAAATTAAACCTCATAGTATTTTATGTTCTTATATTAAAGCTGGCACATTATACACATTTTTTTAAGTGTTTTTGATACTGGCTTCAGAAAGAAAAAGGAAGCAAAATAATATTATTATGAAGCATTAAGAATAGGAAATCTAACTTCAGAGTAAGAATATATTCTATGATATGTATTTTATAGCAATTGTTTATCAATAGTATACGAATGCCTATAGAGTTTTATTCATGAATTGATCAATAATTTGTATTTCCCTTAGATTAATTTAATTAAAATTTAATTATCTCACATAGAGAATAGAATAATGAGTACTACTTCATTTTGTAATAGCATTTACAATTCAAATAATTTTAATTAAATATATATGAATAGCAAAAATAAGGAGTACCTTGGTCTGAGAAAAAAATGAGGTATTCTTACAATATATAACAAAAATTTTTATTATGAACTGTTAAATAAATAATGTTAATACTATAAAAAATTAAATAAAATATTCATTCATTAAGGATTGAACTCAAGATTTGCTTTAATTTTTTAATTTTTTGTTCCTTTAAGACGGGAACGTTTATAAACATTTTTATACCGGTGTTGATTTATTATTTAAATTTTTATTAAATGTCAAGCCTATTGAATAAAGTAACATCCCCATTACGTGGAGGTGGTTGCGGATCTACTAAAACAATTCCCACCACAGAATTAGCCTTATAGTCTGATATTTAAGATATAGAAAATTTCATTACTAGATTTGATTCTTTTGTCTAAACGATTTATACTAAAGCAGCTGTTGCTGCTAATTAATCAGAAGCTTAAGAAATAATGATAGCCATATAATGGTTTATTATTTAAGAGGAAAACATTTACAAACTCATCAAGAATGCCTAAAAAGTAGTAAAATCATATAACTTAATTATTGCTGGAATCCGAAAATTATTGGAAAGTTGTTTGATCTATGTCAGAACAGATTCATTTAAATGCTTATTCATCTTAAAGACTACAGCATCTTTATCTAAGGTGATATTTTTTTTCCATATAAAAAATGAAAAGAGATAATTGAACTGCAATACAAAAAATCAATTTTTGGATATTTGCGATGAATTAAGATAATAAATGGAAATAGAGAAGAATGATTTAATTCAAAATTAATTGGAACTTTACCTTTTACTAACAAAAACTTCATTTCAGATGGCCCCAAATGATAGTAAAGAAAGGGATGATATTTTAAAAGGTTTTCTAAATGGTATATTTTACTCCATAATTGATATGAAACCTAATGCTGAATTATTGATATAATTGTTTCGTGGAGCCTGCATGCTTTACAATAAGTATGCGAATTAAAAAAATAGAAAATAATATGAAATCTATTTTTCTATAGATATGTTGTAATGGGAGATCATAAATAATTTTAAAAATGATGGCGAAAAGAATTTGGAAGAAATACTCTTACAAATTGAGGAAATACATGAAAAAATTGTGAAAAATTCAAGGAATTGGGAGAATCATTTTTTGTGGATTTAAATGATTGGAAAAATCTTAATATATAATCCTCTTATAACAAAAAAAAAATTAAAACAATTAACGAACTCTTTCAATCTTGAAGAAAAATCAATGTACATATGGAAGGAATATCTGAACAAAGGGTTTCTAATTTAAATGAATCATAGCGATGACTAAGCTTTAATTTTACTTAATTAATTCACAAATAAATAATTAACTTAAATTGATAAATTAATACTAGAAGACACTTTCAAAGAATGGGAAAACCTAATGGTGCTTAAAGACTTCCTACTGAATGAAAAAAATGATAATATCCATTTCACATTTGGTTCCTATCTAAACTTTTAATTAGGAAGCATGGAACCCAAAAAAAATGAATAAATCCAGGCAATTTGCAAGTTATAACAATTTTTTGATTTCATTATTTCCAATAAATTACTAGCATTAATTCAAGAAAATGATGAGAGATTGGGAGTCATAGTTCGAAATTATAAAAATTTTCACAAAGAAAATAACTATTTTAATTACAAAATAGAACAAGCCACATATAACTCATAATTAAAAAAAATGGTTTTCAACTTCAAAGAATATTTCCAAAACACTCTCAAAATCATGAAAATTATTAGGCTTAGTCAAAGGAAATAAACTTTTTAGATAGAATAACTTGAAAAGATTAATGAATTCAAATCTTTTAAATATCTTAAGTATATTATGAAATTAATAGAATAAATATTATCTTAAGCGATTTAAGATATTAAAAATAAGAGAAATGAACCTGATGAAATCATAGTTCTTTAGTAAGAGATAGAGTTGATTTAGGATGAAGTTAAAATTTTAACTCAAACAGATAAATAATTTTCATTTGTCCATGAGTTCAAGTAGAGGCTACTTGCATTACCTAATGCAACTCTTAACTAGAAACTTTTTTTGAAAGAAGCTCAATGTATGTTAACTCTTATTCAACAAACTGAAAAACATGTTTCAGAGCTAGAAATTTTTTTTCTTCAAAAGGATAACTTAATTCAATACTTTTAATGTTTATTGAATAACCTAAATTTTTATTATGAAGACCAGATCAAAGAACTGTAAAAATACTTTATTGAATGTATTGAAATTTTGAAGGCAATTATAATTTTACAATATGAAATAGAGTCTGCATCTAAAACTGAAAAATTAAAAGAAATTAAATAAGAATATTCTTACAAGCTTCCATTTAAATGTATACAAAAATAAAGATTAAACAATTTAAAACTTAAATTTAAATTAATTGCTTTCAAAGAATGTTTTTAAAATATTATAACAATACAATCAGAAGAATTTTAATAGTTGTAAAATGTTATCAATTTTAATGAATTTCTTCTTGATGTAATTAAGAATTACCCAAAATAAATAATTTGCTGTGACAATTCTATTGTAGAATTAACTATTGCCGAATTATCTAATTTATAAATTACTGAACAAGACTATTAAAATAATTTATCAACATAAAAAGGAGTTTTAGAGAATCTTATATTTAGGTTAACTTTAGAAGAATCAATGATTGATTTGGAAAGAAAAGATTTAGATTTAATTGAAAAGGAATTTGGCGAATTATGTATATAAGAAACCAATTCTTTATCTCTTCCTCAAATAATTATGAAAACTATAAAAGATGTTTCAATAGAAAATATTACTCTTAAAAATTTTAATCAAAATTAATTGAATATTGAGAGAGAAAAGTATGAGATATTACTATTATAATTAAGAAAAATTAATTTCTAAGAAAATTGTGAAGTGGTAGAAGAACTTAAATTACTAACCAGTCAGATCTAGATGGTTGTTAAAATATTGAGAGCTTCCGTTAACCAAGACCTAGAATATTTCCAAATGCTGATCTTTAAAAGAGTAAATGAATTTAAACAAATATTCGATGAATTTAAAACAAAATATGATGATAAGAATAATAAAGATGAGTAGAAAATTGTCAAGGACTAAAATAATTTCCAAAACAAAATTAGAACAAATTTATCTATCATTATTCACATTCTATAAATATTACTAGTAAAAACAAGTTAAGTGAAGTAAAAGTTGAAAATATTGCTTTAAAATGTTAGAAATTTTACTCTACAAGAGTGTTACTAGGAAATGTATACAAGTTTTTAAAGTTGTTTTTAAAAACATATAAACCAAATTAA